AGTTAATCTTGTGGGTTCTTGGGTTGTTGCTGTCGTAGTTGAGAATCACGTCTGTGTGCGTTGGCTTCGAAATACTTGAGTTTCTAGTTTTCCTATGTTAGTTCTGGTGATTAGTATATCCAGGAATGATAGGCTGTTGTTTGATTCCTTTTCCATTGTGAATTTGATGTCATCGAAGACGTTGTTGATCCGATTGTAGATGTTCTCCAGCTCATTCCTTTTTATAATAACGAATGTGTCGTCTACATAGCGAACCCACATTTTTGGCTTGATCACTGGCAGAATCGACGCTTCCAGTCTCTGCATTACAGCTTCGGCGATGAGTCCTGATATTGGTGATCCCATTGGTGTTCGTAGACTCTGTTGTTGAATTGAAGATACGTTGTTATGCATAGGTCGATGAGTTCAAGCAGACTTTGACTCTGAAGCTTGGTATATTTGTGTAGATTTGTGTCGTTGATGAGGAGCAAAGGAAGAGTTTCTTTAGCCAAGCTTGGCTCTATTGAGGTAAATAAGGCTGTTACGTCGAAGGATATCGTCATTTCGTCGTTGTCAATTTGAATCCTCTTGAGTTTATCCAAGAATTCTGTGGCAGAGTTAATGGAGTAGTTGGATTCATCCACCAGATGTTTTAATATCCTTGAAATTTCTCGTGATAAGTTGTAGGTCGGGGTTCCGGGGAGGGATACAATAGGACGTAGTGGGATGTTAGATTTGTGGAGTTTCGGCCTACCGTAGAATCGTGGAATTATTGGTCCATTGGATTTCATTCTCCATGGATCTTGTTTTGATATTTGTCCTGCTTTGACAAGCCTATTTAGAGTCCTTGAGATTTGATTGTCCAACTTTTTTATAGGGTTTGTGTCGAGTGGTTTATACACGCTTCTGTCCTGAAGTAGATCCTCGGCTTTCTTGATATATTCTTCCTTGTCCATGATCACTGTCGTGCGTCCTTTGTCCGCTGGAAACTATGACTATATCTTCCCTGGTTTTGAGTTTCTTTAGAGCTTTTCGTTGTTGTGCTGTTAGCTGGTTATTGTCTCTCTTCCGTCGAGTTAGTGGTACTATCGTTTGCCTTATTTCTTGTTGAGTTTCTTCACTTATTCCTGCCGTTTTGAGTGATGACTCTAATGCCGCGAAGGATTCCAGTTTTGAAGCGTCTTTCGTGTTATAGTTCAATCCTTTTTGGAGCAGTTGTTCTTCTGTTGTCGTTAGCTGTTGCTTCGATAGGTTGACCACACATCAAAATACTATAACTAACTGTTATAGCATGATCGAGCGAATTATTGGTGTGTGTGTGTGTGACTAGTGAAAGTAAGTGTGATTGGCCACAGCGTAGACAAATAAACAAACACACAGCTTACTGACAACTGAACATGTAATTTGTTTTCCCGGAACTCACCGAGAGTGACTGTTTGTAATTGTGTGGAATAATGTATCATCCAATATTTACTTTGGTTCTCTATTTTGGTCATGAAACGTGTATATGGTCAAACATGATAGAGTCATTACTTAGCATGCCAGTAGTGCTGTGGTGCGCGCTACTTATAAGTAGTATATAACGCGAGTGAAAACGTAATGTCTGGCAGCAGAAGATGGGGGAAGATCAAGAAAGGAAGAGTGGGAACACAATGGGATTTGTGTGAAACGCATGAACAGTGAAATGTCAGACAATGGATTGATGATGGATTGAAGATTTGCAACTTAACGGTTTACGATATAGTTTTACTATTTTACCGATTAACTCTGTAATTTCCGTTAAATACAATTCGGTTGCCCTCACCTGTGTTCTCCTTCACTACAGTGTATCAACTCTAGTGGTAGTACGATCTCAGTTACTAGTTGTATTATCGTATTACAGTAGTATATCGTTACAAACGGAAGTTATTTCCCTTAATCATAATATGAAACTGACAACATATCAGACTTCTCAACAAATATAATTGCCATCATCAGAATCTTACATATTAATGATCCACTAACTATCAGGACAGGAGGCGAATAATTCACTCCTTGTTTTAAGATGCTAATCTACGTAGGTTTTACAGAAATATGAAGTTGCAGTGAGTGACTAAGAATGGCTAGTGTTGATTACCTAATATATAGTTATTCCGACCGAATCGTAGCATGGAGCCGACAATTTTCTGCTTCACCGACTAGTAACTATATGAACTATTGATTTCCTCTTCAACCACATGTTTCAACTTCTAACTGTTAATTCTAACTGTGGCTTGTATTTTCCATTTTTTTATTATATTACTTATTAATATTCAGTAACTTAAATCATTTCTGAGCACATTGAGAGTGGAATATCCCTTTATTACGATTTATATGATAGTTCATTCATGTATTATTGTAGTTGTTGGTGCCTCGACGTTCTTAACAGTTGCTTTTATTACTTACGAGCTTGTTGAACATTTGTATATTTGTAATCGTTTTCATAATTTCTGTGTACAGTTCACTTGCGGATATTACTCCTAATGAATAATTTACAGCTACTTTGTGCCACGTAGGTCATTGCATACTTTTCTGAATCATTCCTAAATAACCAAAGTTCTCCCTTCTTTAATCCTACTTTTAGGCATGTAAAAAATGTCTCGCCATTCGAGATTTTGTGTAACAAGCACTACTGACTGATATTGTGATAAAATAGTAGTATTGTTTTCCAGATAAGTCCTTTGCTTGGATCTTCACACACCACTCGATCGTGTACCCTGATTCCTCGAGCGGATCCAATTTTAACCTGAATCCGACCATGTCTAAATGATCTGTACAAGTAGTACTTAACAAATAATGATGTAACGCATTGTATTTGATTGTTTAGAACAATTTTTTACTTCGTTGAACTATCCAGACTAATTTTGTTTTAAACATTTTTTTTCATTTTCATAAAAAGGAATGGCTGTTTTTTATTGGATTAAATACAAGCGAATCATGTCATACCGATGAAAATCTTCATAGTTGGTTAGATCCTGAACGAGCTCGTAATCTGATGAAGCTTAAAGTAATATATATCTAATTTTCTTGAATTTTTTTAGAGCCTATTTTTTGTCATATTCATAGGTTGTATAATATGTAATTTTCAAACTTGCCCTTCTGAGTAATGAATAAAACATCTCATCTGATAAATAACTGTGATGAAATTTCGGGCATGTCCCTACTGCTCACACCATGGAAGGGTGTTCCTTGAAGTATCTGAAAAGGAAAGTAGATTAACTTTGGTCTTAGGGACCTGGGAGTGTAGTCGCAGAGCCCAAAGGACAACTACTTGAGGCCGGTCACGCACAGCCTTTTTTATGGGTGGTACTTAAAGTATTGTTGTTGTTTAAAAGGCCTGACCTCAGGAGACGGAAACCCAACACTAGATAGCCACTCATTCCTCGTCTGTAACTGCGGCAGTGTGAACTCTCGGTCTTGAACCAGGTTAAAACTATCACAACACTTAGAACTTGAGCCTAATACAATACTGTAAGACTCATTAAGTCAAGAAGATCCACTGGTTTGTATTTCTAACTTGATTCAATCAAGTTATATGTATGTGATGGTCATCTGTCAGTGTCATCTATTCTGATAATCATTTTTGCCTCGTAGAACTTCTAGAAATCCATCATCACCAGTAAGCACCTAATAATTACTGTAATTTTATTGTTTAGACAGTAAATAAACGAAAATTTATTGATTCACGTGACATGTACTGAGTATTGATTAACAGTTGAAATTTACTGTTTTAAGTGATTTCACTTAAAATCAGTCTTAAAAAAAATGGATCACAACTTGCTGATGTATTTTTTTGTGATCAGATCAATAGCGTGATTAAATCAACGGTCAATGTTGGCGTTTTTTCAGCGAGTTAGTTTTCTCTACGGGATGAAGTCGCTAACCCCACACCCAACCCTCCTCCTTTATTATCCGGGGCTTGGGGACTAGTAGCAGTCCCACAGGGGCTTCAGGCGGAGTTTCAGTTACCTTTTTCCTCATAAAAACAAAAATGACTAGGATAAATTTGTACTACCATTTGAAATTTCTCCATTCACTTCATCCATTAGAGTTCCTGACCAACTTTGTATTTGTATGCTTATCCTCGTCTGAATTTTCAGGAGTCGACCTTCTACCAGGAAAATCACTTATTGGCCTAGAATATGCCGATGAAGACGCTGACGAAATTCAGAGTCTTCTGATTACCATACTCAACAATGCAAGCATGGTCAGGATGCGGTTATCCCCGTCGAAATGAAAAATGTTGCTTCAGGATTGGTTTGCATCGGTACATGGACTAGTGATAAGGAGTGAAGAAGTCGAACGTGCAGACCGCTTCACGTATCTGGGGAGTCTCATCAGTGCTGATGGCCTGGTGACTGACGAAATATCAGCACGGATACAGAAAGCTCGGTTGGCTTTTGCCAACCTGTGTCACCTATTACTCAGGCGAGATATCCGCTCGCTATCCAAAGGACGAGTGTACTGTGCAGCAGTTCGCTCCGTCCTACTGTACGGATGCGAAACATGGTCGTTAAGAGTAGAGGACTTTCGTAGGTTACTAGTCTTCGATCATCGATGTCTCCGAAGCATTGCTCGTGTATCCTCGGACAACGGACTAAGCGATGCCGTCGTTAGGAAACGAGTTCTAGGTAAGGATGGCAGATCAATCGATGAAGTATTAAAACTTCATCAGTTGATGTGGTTGGGACATGTGTTACGTATGCCTAACCACCGACTGACTCGACGAGTTATGTTTTGTGGTGTAGGAGTAGGTTGGAAGAAAGTTAGGGGCAGCCAAACTAAAGCATGGCACAAATCCATGAAGTCACTGACAAGTGGACTTAGTCATATTTGTACATGTAGGCTACCTGGTTGGGGTCCACGAGACGAAAGTCACCAATGGTTAGAGACCTTGAATGACATGGCTCAAAATCGTTTGCAATGGCGCAAATACATCCACTCTTTGTGTTCTCTCTAATTCTAACCTTCTGAATTCCCCATAATCCCCGTCTTTCTCCTTCTAAATTTATCTTACTGAATTATACTTCTCGCATCATATTTTCGCTCCCTAATCTTCTTCATTACTGCTAATACTTTTACTATCACTATCACTCTTGGATTTGAACTGACAGTTACGTCTCTGTGTGCTGATGTGGTATGGTGGCAACCTGAACTGATGTACGTACGTACGAAGTTCTGCGCTGTATCTGTCTGTCTGTATTCTGAGCCGAACATCAAACTTTTCAATCTTCCTTTTGACTGTAGCGTCGTACTCAGCACCTTTTTTTGTTATCCATTCATCTAGCTGTGTATATTACAGTATCATTTCTATCTACAACTGTTAATTATCTGTTATATGTTCAATGTGTTCAACGCATTCATAATTGGCGGATATTTGAAATATATATAATTATTAATTAGTAAAACTTGACCGATTTAAATGAAATCTGTAGTTAGAAATCACATTCAATCGTTTTTGTATTCAATGATTCATTCATTAAATTGTAAACACACATTCATTTATTTTATTCCGGAATGGTTATTTTGTGTGTGTGTGTGTGTGTGTGTGTGTGTGTTAATTTTTTCTGAAAGTTATCATTTCTTCATTAATGTATGTGTTCAAAGTATGAATGAATTTTAAAATCAAAAAAAATAAAAGTTACACATCATACAAGTATTAATTATCAGGTAGTTTTTTTTTGTGTATGTTGTTACATGTAAGATCACATTATGAAAAGGAATAAAATTATATAACTTAGTCACAGTCAATTAATTAATTAATTACATCTACTCATAATAATTGTATGCCGAGGTAAATATGTGTTCACACAGCAGGTTATTGATTGGTTGATTGATTGATCGATTGATGTGAATATGAGTCATTTCAGTTTATGTGAATCAGAGTGTTCCATTGCACTGTTAATAAATCACATAAAAAGTGTTGTATTGATTAAATATATCACAGGTTGATTTAATTACGAGAAGGAATCATTATAGATCCTTATCTCTTTTTGGTTCATGATCTTCTCTGTGTGTCATCCAAATCACAATTTTCAGAACTAAGCGCTAGATCATTGAAATATTCTCTTTAGACATAAACAATTTCACCCTACATACTTCAAGTGATAGGGAGTGAAGTAGTCGAGCGTGTTGATCGCTTCATTTATCTGAGGAGTCTCATCAGCACTGATAGCCTGGTGACTGACAAAATCTCAGCACGGATACAGAAAGCTCGATTGACTTTTGCCAACCTGTGTCACTTATGGCGTAGGCGTGATATCCGTTCGCTAACCAAAGGATGGGTGTACTGTGCAGCAGTTCGCTCCGTTCTCCTATATGGATGCGAAATATGGCCGTTAATAGTAGAAGATGTTCGTAGGTTACTAGTATTCCATCACGGATGTCTCAGAAGAATCGCTTGTATATCGTGAGACAACCGAGTAAGCAATGCTGTTGTTAGGAAACGAGTTCTAGGTAAGGATGGCAGGTCAATAGATGAAGTATTGAAACTTCATCAGTTGAGGTGGTTGAGACATGTGTTACGTATGCCTAACCACCGACTGCCTCGACGAGCTATGTTTTGTGGTGTAGGAGTAGGTTGGAAGAAAGCTAGGGGCGGCCAGACCAAAACATGGCACAAATCCATGAAGTCTCTGACAAGTGGACTGAGTCATGTTGGTAGATGTAGACTACCGGGGTTGGGGTCCGCGAGACGAAAGTCACTAATGGTTTAGAGACCTTGAACGACATGGCTCAAAATCATTTGCAATGGCGCAGGTGCATCGACTCTTTGCGCTCTCTCAAATCCTAATCTTCTGGATTCGTCAGCACATCTACCTTTGTCTCTCTAACCTTATCTCACTGAATTATACTTCTTGAATAATATCTTCGAACCCTAGTCTTCTACACTACCAATAATACCTCTACTATCTTTATCACTATATGATTTGATTTGACATTTGCGTTTCTGTGTTAATGTGGTATGGCAAGATGAACTTATGTACATACGTACGTAGTTCTACGTTGCAACTGACTGATACACTTCAAGTTTTCTATAAGTAAAATAACTGATATAATCATTTAACGAGTTAATAGTTCCTTTCCAAATTATTTCAAAAATACCATCTTCTTTAGGCAAGTTTGATTTAGCAATTTCTCGTTAAGAATAGATCACAAATTTAAGTACTGAAGTCTGATGAAGTTTCCTGCCTTTTAAATTATCATCCGACTTCATTTCTCATATTTAAACTCATACTTTATGCTTTCTTTTTTTTCGTAGGCTGCATTTCCTAATATTTATGAAAATCTATATTTTGAAGATTCCCAGTTTTGGACAAATTGGTTACATGAGAATAATGTTGAAATGAAACCAATGCCTAAGAGTTTACAAGCTAAATCATCATTGACAGCTTTTCAATTCAATGTCCTTGCAATTCAAGCTCTACGACCGGATCGTTTACATTCTGCTTTATTACAATTTGCTAGTCGAACATTAGGTAAATGCGCACCTATTTTAACTTCATGCTTTTAGTTATTGGTTGAATTAATCATTCAATCGATCGTTGTTAGACCACCGTTAGAAACCTCGAAGCATTGGATAGGACTCATCAGAAGTGCGTATCCATGATTCCTGCTAACCTCAGGATTCGAAACCAGGAACTTGCACGCGAACGCCTAACCCCTGGACCACTGTGCCCGCATCCCCAAGCTGTAGATGTCTAACTCTGATAACTCTAGGGATTTTTGCGCGACCTCACCCATTTGTCTTCAGTACTTACTGCCTACACTCAACACGGCTGAACTCCACTAGTGACTTCTTCTTACTAAAACTCCTAGAATTTCCTCACGAAGCTTGTCATCAGTGAGTTGATGAGTCCCATACCAGGAAGAAACGAATGTCCAGTGCTTCCAGGTTTCTAATGGTGGTCTAACAATCACTGGATGATGATTTCAATGTGTATAAACACAGATCTCCATAACTGTAATTGAAAAAATCGTACAATTTGTTCACTAGTGACTAGCTTCGTGATGAGGAAATTCTTGGAGTTCTAGTGAGAAGATGTGACCAGTGGAGTTCAACGGTGTTGAGTGTAAGCAGTAACTACTGAAGACAAATAGGTGCTGTCGCACAAAAATCCCTAAACTGATCAGACATTAACACTTTGGGGATACCGGCCCAGTTGTCGAGAGGTTAAACGTTCTCGTGCAGGACTGAAGGTCCTGTGAGTGGTAGGAATCGTGGATGCGCACTACTGATGATGGGACTAAACGACTGTCCAGTGCTTCCAGGTTTCTAAAAGTGATCTAACAACGATTGATTGTTGATTTCAATGGGCAAAATAAAAGTGGTTAGTATTGGATGAGAGAGATAATAATAACATAAATTTCAAATGAGGAATCCTGTAACTTATGTGTACAAATTAGTGAATAAGACTCAACACTGAATTAGTCTCTCAAAAGGTTTGTGAATTAGATAAGTTTAAACTAGTGAAAATACAATAAAAGGGAGATTGTCTGAACATTCATCAAAGTGATTATTAACTAATTAGGTCAAGGTTTATATTTGTGGGCCACTTTCCGGTTATATACTTGTAGAACTTGAATAGAATTGATTGAAAAGAATATTTTTCCTTAATAACTCATAAAATCGATATTGATCGTTTCATTTAAAAGTATGAATCGCCTGTTTACACTGCTCAATATTTTAATAACTAAACAGGAAGGATTATTTTGTTGACTGGATATGAGATAATTTACTCGCTCAAAAAATAATCATCTATGTAGGTTGATTCAAGAGAGAGAAATTGTAGTTTCAAAACAATCAAAGCCTAGTTAGCTGCTAGTGAAAAAAACAAATCGGATTATCAATTTAAACGGATATCAATTCGGTTTATCTATACCTACAGCTAATCATTCTTGTTTTTTTATACTGAGTGCTGTTAGTTAATTTTAATACTATGACTCATTTATCATCAAGTACAAGTTTATGTTGATAAAACAATGTGAAGGCAAGTTTTATCATAATTGTATTTGATAAATTAGCCTGATTCATTTTCAAGTATAACATTCTGATCACACATTTACTTGTTAAGACATATAATGGTGCCTATTGACTTTCACTTGTTACGCCTAGTGGAGAAAAAAGGCCACCGATCAGCATTCTCAAAACCTACACTGTTCCAGGTCTTCCGTTCTAGTTCTGTTTCGATTGTTATTCATTCTTTTCATGTCTGTCTCCATTTCTCGGCGTAAAGTGTTCTTTGGTCTTCCGCTTTTCCTTTGGTGCTGAAGATTCCAGATGAGGGCCTGTCTTGTCACGCAGTTGGGTGCTTTCCTCACTGTGTTTCCTATTTACTTCCAGAGCTTCTTCCTGATTTCTTCCTCTGCTGGAATCTGGTTTGTTCTTTCGCACAGTAGGTTGTTGCTGATAATGTCTGGCCTATGGTTTAATGTAAGCATAAAATATTGTTAAACATATAGAGAGCACGTTTATGTTAACTCATTCCTTTTATGGCTAAGATGTTAATAGACTTAAGTGTTCACAGCCAACAACATACGTATAAAACCATCAAGGCTTGAATTAAAATTTATCTTATGACCTACTTCAATTGTTTGCCAATGGATATTGTAACTGATGAGTCCCATACCAGGACGAAACGAACGTCCAGTGCTTCCAGGTTTCTAATGGTGGTCTAACAATGATTGATTGATGATTTCAAATGTGTAAAAACACTAATCTTCAAAGATAGCTCTAAATGAAAAAAATATCGGGAAAGTTGAAACTCTGTAGGCCATTTTTCGTGTTCTCATTACTTATTCGTTGTTGTGTGTGGTTGCTTTCATATATCTTACTATAAGCTTTCAGTAGACCTACAGAGTTTTGCTATGCCGTAATTATTGCTATGTATTAATGTAATGGTTTGCTTCGCTCTCTATCAGTTATAGTATGATTATGTTCAAAGTATGATTTCTCATTTAATGTGCTGTGTGGTCAGGCATTTTCGTTATATTATTTTATAAGTTTTGACTCATTGCTCTGTATTTTGTTACCAGATTAAAAAAATGCTCGAGCATCAGTAAATCCTAAAGTCTTGGTTGATGTGTTTAAATTAGTGAATTACGTTAACATTTGAACTGGTGGAGTATAGTACGTGTTATTGATCAATACCTCGAGCCATAACACAATCAGGATTTCTCCAAAACATAACAATAGGTTGGATGGCTCAATCGTGGAGCTTTCATTGGTCTTGTGAATGACATGGCTCAAAATCGTTTGCAATAGCGCCGGTGCATTTATTCTTTGTGTTCTGTCAAATCCTAATCTTCTGGATTATTCAACACCTCTAGTTTTGTCTTTCTAAACTAATCTCACTGATTTATACTTCTTGAATAATATCTTCTAATCCTAACCTCTCCGATTACTTCTAATACCTTTACTACCTCTACTACTATTGGATTTGAATTGACAATTACATCTCTGTGCTAATGTGGTATGGCAACATGAACTGATGTACTTACGTACGAAGTTCTACGTTGCATCTGACTGACTGACATTGTTCTTCTGAACAACAAACACCATTAGGACAAATTTCATCAAACTCATTCACCTGAGCTACAACTTTTTCTCGACTATTTCATTTAAGTTTTACTGATTTTTGTAATCATTTTGGTGTGTATTCAACCATCCTAAATTATTACAGAACATGATTATTCCTCTTTATTCATGTAAATCGGTAATTGTAATAGGTTTTCGGTGAATGGCAGACATTGTGCAAGTTCAACCAGTTGGAATCGAGGCATACATTTTATTTAAAACTTATTGATACTGTATCCAGATCGAAGTAGGTGGAACAGGATGTGAGTAGCATATCAATGACACCAACTCTCTACTTCTTATTTACCCTAACGGTGTTTTTTTCTAAGACACCAATGCAAAATTCTAACCACTGAATTTCGCCTAATCAAATAATTCGCATTTTCCATATTTACTTACTTACTCGTTTAACCAATTATAGTAACAGAACTTCATTAGCACATTCATGACGTAACGAACTCGTAACAGTCTTTAATTAAATAAACGTCAGTTCACTAGTTGATCTGTGGCATAACTAATTATCATTTATGGTCCACTTAGACTTAAAGCTATTTTAATTTGAGAATGGCACATTCCAAACGAACTAGCTTACAACCCTAGAAATGTTTTTAGCGGAAGCTTAGCAAACATGTGATTCTTGAATATGATTGTGACAACTTCCAGATTACAGTCTTGTTAATTTGAAGACAACATATAGTAATTTCATTTGAAACTGTTTCCAAGAAAAAATTTTATTTGAGCAATTTTACTGAAATCTACTTGACAAAACGTTCTAGTATGAGCCAAAACGACTGTCCAATACTTCAAACTTTTCAATTATTAGTTTAACTAAGAGCATTTCAAGACTTGAAAACCGTGGAAATTATCTAATCTCTGCAAAATCCTTTAGTGATAATAACCATGTGCTTATTAGCGACTAGTTTCCAGATGGGATTCTTGGGGTTCTAGGGAGAAGTTGTGACTGGGGGAATTCAGCCCTGTCGAGGACGAGGACAAGTAGCCACTGAAAATAATGGAAGGTTGTCTTCCAGTACCATGGATTAATTAAGGTCAGGCATTAACACCGTCGGATATCCCCTTAATGGTCTAGGGCTCAAGCATACATGTTTGAGACTGAATGTCCTGCATTCAGCTCCCAAGTGCAAGTCTATAGGGACACATTGCCGAGAAGTCTCATACTATAATGAAATGGCTGTAGAGTGTTTTTAGGCTTCCAATGGTGGTCCAAGTCAGATTAGTAAGTGAATCAAGGACTACAGAAATTCGATTATATTCACAAAACCTTATGTGGTGATACAAAGTTTTTCTATAGAGTTAGAACGATAAGATCCATGTTAAACTTACCCGACGTACAGGACTTGAGGTAATAATCGTGTAAATAAATGATGAGAACAACAGAGGTTAGATTATCTAAGTTATGATAGATCATGTTTTCAATTTAAGCGCCTAAAAGAACAAAACAACATGTACTCATTCATTAGTTTACCTGTTCATTGATCAATACAATTTCTTCCCCCTACTATTTTTTTTTTTAGACTTACCTCAACTAAGTCCATCAACTTTGAATTTACACAGATTATTTGAAACAGAGACAAGATCCACAGAACCTATTCTAATATTAATTAGTCCAGGAGCTGATCCATCACAAGAATTATCTGAAGCAGCTTCACTACATTTCTCACGTAAAATGTTGAATAAAACATCCGAGACCACGTCATCATCATCATCACATTATCGTCAAATTGCTATGGGTCAAGGTCAAACTGATTTAGCCATAAGTGAATTACATTCCGCCGCCGAACAAGGTGATTGGTTATGTTTGAAAAATTTACACCTTGTTATACATTGGCTACCAGTATTGGAGAAAGAAATTAACAATTTACTTTTGAACAGTAACAGCAACAGCAATGATAATAAAGAAAATTCAAATATTCCTAACAATCATGCTGATAATGATGATACAACTAATAAATCTTCTGATACGAAACAATCTGTACATAAAGATTTCCGATTATGGTTAACGTTGGAACCACGTACCACATTCCCTTCTACATTGTTACAAGGTTCTTTAAAAATAGCTTATGAAGTAAGTTGAAACAACTGTTTAATTGCTTAACACTGACAACGGTTAGGGCGTTCGCGCACAATACCGAAGGTCCTGGGTTCGAATCCTGCGAGGTGCAGGAGTCGTGGATGCGCACTGCCACTGATGAGTCCCATACCAGGACGAAACGGCCGTCTTCCAGTGCTTCCAGGTTTCTAATGGTGTTGGTCTAACATTGATCGATTCATGGTTTCAAAAATGTGTAACTTAACAATCTTCACAACCCCTTAATGAAAATACTACTCAAACTATGGTATCATTTTAATTGAATGGCTATTAAAAGTCATTCATTGGATAACTGTTCTGTTATAGAATAAGGCTCCACAACAAGTGAACACCTACTGTCATGTCAAGCATCCATACTATGATTGTGGTGCGCGCTACTTATAAGTAGTATATGACGCGAGTGGAAACGTAATGTCTGGCAGCAGAAGATGGGGGAAGATCAAGAAAGGAAGAGTGGGAACACAATGGAATTTGTATGAAACGCATGAATAGTGAAATGTCAGACAATGGATTAATGATGGATTGAAGATTTGCAAATTAACGGTTACGATATGGTTTTCCTATTTTACTGAGTAACTCTGTAATTTGCGATACATACAATTCGGTTGCCCTCACCTGTGTTCTCCTTCACTACAGGGTCTTCATTTCGCAAATTGAATGTATTATCTGAAATGTGCTGAATTGACATGCCAGCATCATTGATGACAAAGGTAGATCTGATGCAGATGTGAAGGTGCGGATCGGTAAAGCAATGTCTACATTTCTACAATTGACGAACATCTGGAACTCAAACACCAAAGTCAGAATTTTCAATCCAAATGTCAAGACGATTCTACTATATGGGTCGGAAACTTAGAGAACTATGAAGTGTCTATTAACAGTTGTTTACTCAAAATACTTCGGATCCATTGGCCAGACAACATCAACAATAACCTACTAAGCGAAAGAACAAACCAGATTCCAGCAGAGGAAGAAATCAGGAAGAAGCTGTGGAAGTAAATAGGAAACACAGTGTGGAAAGCACCCAAATGCATCATCTGGAGTCTTCAGCGCCAAAGGAAAAGCGGAAGACCAAAGGACACTTTACGCCGAGAAATGAAGACAGACATGAAAAGAATGAACAACAGTTGGACAGAACTGGAAAGGAAGGCTCAGAACAGAGTAGGTTAGAGAATGATTGTCGGCAGTCTATGCTCCGCAAAAGTTAACTCACGTAAGTAAGTAAGTAAGTATTGAAGTGACATCCAGTGGCTAGTGTCTTCAACTTGCGTCAGTTTTCGATATTGGCTTACCATTTGTGCAACTTGTTGCACATCATAACATAGTTGAATTCCATCAGTAACAGATTCTCACTGAAACTGCAGAAATTTCGATTGAAGTTACTGATTACTTATCAATATGATTATTAGTATTATTAACATGAAATGTTTTTAGAAATTATTCAAGTGAAGAGAGTTAAAATTTCGTGCTTTTGATTGCTCCGAACTTTAAATAAACCAACGAATTACTTTACATGTTCAATGTTTTCAACTAGGATAGAATTGAAATTGGGGAATCATGTTTATTTTCAGTTTATTTTATGCAACTTTGATAACTTTTGGAAGGGAACTACAAATGACAACAATTATTGTTTATTAGTCAGTCAGACAGTCAGTCAGATGCAACGTAGAACTTCGTACGTAAGTACATCAGTTCATGTTAATATACCGCATCAGCACACAGAGATGTAATTGTCAATTCAAATCCAATAGTAGAAGAGGTAGTAAAGGTGTTAGAAGTAATCGAAGAGGTTAGGATAGGAAGATATTATTCAAGAAGTATGATTTAATGAGAAAAGTTTAGAAAGTCAAAACTAGAGTTGTTGAAGAATCCAGAAGATTAGGATTTGAGAGAACACAAAGAATAAATGCACCGGCGCCATATCGAACGATTTTGAGCCATGTCATTCAAGGTCTCTAACCATCGATTATTATGATCTCGCCGACCCCAACCAGGTAGTCGACAATTACCGACGTGGCTAAGTCCACTTGTCAATGACTTCATACATTTCTGCCATGTTTTGGTTTGGCCGCGCCTAACTTTCTTCTAACCTACTCCTACACTACAAAACAAAGCTCGACGAGGCAGTCGGTGGTTGGGCATACGCAACACATGTCCCAACCACCTCAACTGATGAAGTGTCACTACTGCGTCTATTGATCTGCCATTCTTACCTAGCACCCGATTCCTAATAACAGCGTTGCTCACTCGGGTGTCCCAGGATATACGAGCGATGCTTCGAAGACACCTATGATCGAAAACCAGTAACCTACAAATATCTTCTACTCTTACTGGCCATGTTTCATAGACATAAAGTAGGGCGGAGCGAACCACTGCACAGTACACTTGTACTTTAGTCAGCAAACGGATATCTATTTAATGTATGTGGAGAAAACAGTTTTCTGCGGTTTTGTATTTTCTTAGGAATATGGTTTAATTACATAGTTGTCATTATCCTTCTGTAAATTATTCTTCAGCTCCTGTTTCATGGAACCGGCGCTAATGTTGTTCAGAACGACAGCAGAAGCTCTTCAGTTAAACCATTCAGGTCAGAGGAAAGATCATCAAGAAAAGCGTCCTTTACTATTTTCAAGCGAAAAATATGCATCAAATTGTCCCCATTATGATGTGAGGTGTCTAATATCTGAAATTTATACTTCCTAACCCTCAAACTAGCTAATTGAGTGAGGAGGCAAGAGTGGAAGAGAAAGTCCATTTGGCTATTGAGTAAAATGCACAAATACTTATTTATATCAATATTCCTTTCCCCTTAGAAAATAAATCCATTTCTTGACCAATGATATTCATTAGTTCTCTACAACATTACTGATTACCATCAAGTGACCTCACTTACTTAGTCCTGTTATCAATAATGAAGCATAGACCGCTGACCAGCATTCCGTAGTCTACTCTGTCTTGGGCCTTCCTTTCTAGTTCTGTCCAACTGTTTTTCATATGTCTTCTTATGTTTGTCTCCATTTCTCAGCATAATCCGCTTTTCGGCCTTCCTGTTTTCCTTTGACCTTGAGGATTCCAAGTGAAGGTCTGCCTCGCGATACAGTTGGGTTCTTTCTTCATTGTGTGTCCTATCCACTACTACGTCCACGTATATTACACTAAAAAAATTTTTTAATTTGCCTTTACATTCCGTATACTGTACGAAAAAAGAAAATCCTTCTAATTACAGCTGTAGGTTTACGATCTTCGAAAAAATTGGTAAAAAAAATTTTCTGAAGAATTTTTTTGAAGATAGTATCATCCACAGGCTGAGGTTCTTTTAAAAATGATAAACAAAATTGCGTAGTACTCGGCACTCGCCTCACCATTGTTAGTCACTCTTTAGCACAGGAGACCAAATATTATTGATGAAATATATTAAGGTTACAAATGTACTGAATCGATTTTTATCGGATTACTTACAAATGTAGTGAAGGAGAACACAGGTGAGGGCAACCGAATTGTATTTAACGAAAATTACAGAGTTACTCAGTAAAATAGGAAAACCATATCGTAACCGTTAATTTGCAAATCTTCAATGCCTTGTCTGACATTTCACTATTCATGCGTTTCGTACAAATTCCATTGTGTTCCCACTCTTCCTTTCTTGATCTTCCCCCATCTTCTGCTGCCAGACATTACGTTTACACTCGCATCATATACTACTTATAAGTAGCGCGCACCACACAGATAGTGCTTAAATTCTATCAAATGTATATTTAATA